CAACGAATTTCAAACTGATCAGAAGGGTCGATGGAAACGACTGTAAGCGACATTTACAGACGACCGCGAGCTCAAGACTGAATCGGAACAGAAACACTCGTGCTCCTCGCGGGGAAAACACTTTCTCCGAACGGAAACCATGATAGAAAACAACATTCCAGAGGAGCAGAAGTTTCGGGAAAGGAAAGGAAGAAGAGGGAAAAGGACAGGGTTGAAAGAAGTTCGAAGGTGAAACATCTGGAGGAAGATTTCTCTCGACTGTACGGGATACAACTTCGTTTTGTTGGACTTGCGATGCACTTTCTTGAAAAGGTCAGTCCTTGAGACGGTCAAAAGATCTGCCTGCTGTTACAAACAAACCTCGAGATTACCGTTTGCAAAAATGAGAGATAAGGCAACGTTTCCTTTCACGCAGTGAATGAGACGTTTACAGCGGACGACATTGGACCACATAAGAATCTTTTTACAGCGAGACGAGATAGTTGAATAACATTTTTAAACAATTCCGACGATAAGCAATACCTGTACAAATCTCTGCGATATTAATACGATCATTAGCGACAAGTATTAATCAAATATTTGAATAAGAAATTATTGAATCGATACTGTGCTACAATGACGTCAGTCGCAGATGGTACAGCTGTCTGTTATACGGGTTGCTCGTGCAAAATCGATTCGTTCGAATAGTTCTGGTCTATAGTGCTTCGTTTCATACTTATCGCTCGCGATTCATGGGCATCGCATAAAATTCGCAAGCACCCGAGAACAATAAAAATGGTAACAATGATGAATAGCGAAAGCAATCTTCGCGTCGCTTTCTATCAAAGAAACCTATAATCAACGCGTGATTTCTCTTTTTAACTAACCAATTCTCGACGTTAGCTTGAAAATTAATATCGCGAATACGATTATCCGTATCGTAGCGTTTAAAGGATTTTCCAACGTCGACGAGGGGGTAATTATCTCTAATTGTTTCTACCGGTTGAATTTCTACGGGCTGCGTGATATTTCCATCCAAGTACGAGGCTGAAAAATGTGTGCAAGAAAATTGAAACGACTATTTTTAGAACCGAATGAATAATATGCTCTATTTAAAAACATCCTGTTCCTCGTTTATTAAAGGCACGAGTTCTACCGCACTATTTCTGCCTGTTACCGCAAGCATCATCTAAACTGTTACGAACACTTTACCAAGAAGTATACCTCCTAGCGATATTAAGAAATGTTTGCATCAAACTTTCATATCACATCTTCTCTGCTCCGCTGTTTATTATTTCAATCATTAAGCATGGTTTCTATTTATCCATCTAGCGTTAACTCGAGCGCGACTGTTAACCGGTTAATTACTGTTAAGAGATCTAGAATCGGATTTGCAACGCGTACAATGTATACCTTGTTCCCTTTCACGTTTACTGGAACATTTACATCTATCGTTCGTGAGAAATTTTCTTTCCATGACTCGATAGGAACTGTTACGGTCCTCGAGGTGGATAGGCGAATAACGCGATGGCGCGAGAAAATAAACGACCATAGGACCTACATACCTAGATTCAAAGCTTGATCAGTTTTCTCCGAGCTAAATCTGCTCGTTGTTGATTCCCCCCCCCAAGTGAATTGCGATCACAGCGAAGAAACGACGAGACACGGACGCATTGGGCGTCTTTTAGAATCGTTCGAATGGAAAACAAATCAATCATAAGCGTAACCAAGGTTGTGGACGATTAACAGGCCTGGGAAACTCGAAACGGAATGACTACTTGTACTTGGGCGAGTGAAGAACAGCTAGGCTTCTGAAATTAATTATTTAATGTAAACAAACATTGGACTTGCTGATACTATTATTACAATACAAATTGAATCATGTGTTACCTGTGTTACTAATCATCGTGTTCGTGTTATCCGTACTACATTCAGATCTTTTACAATCAATTTCATTTATGCCCAAAATTATACTGTAAGTAACGGCATACGAGTTTATGAACACGTATCTAAAGTATTTTAGAGTTCACGAGTACTGTTTTTATCATGCTATCACTTTGTTAATCATTCTGAATATAAATAATCCTACGACACGATACACTCTTAGCTTGCTTCAGCTATAGACCCTATATTAAACGTGGATACTAATAGTTTCGTGGCTTTTGTAAATATAAATAATTCTACACGGATTCTCAGTTTACTTCAACCTTTCGACCCATATTAGATAGGTGTATTAATACTTTCTCGGTCCTTGTGAACGTAAATAGTCCTACGCAGTATATTCTTAGTTTACTTTGGCTTTTTATGTCACGTCAGACGGGTGTACGAATACTTTGTACGTTCATCCATACAGATTTCTCTGAATAGAAATAATCCTACAACAGAAAACATTCTCGTGAATTTACTTCAACTTTTTATGCCACATTAGACAGCCTCGTAAATACATTCTCCTAGTAAGGTACTCTTCTGTGACTGACTGTACGTTTCTACAAAACATTTCCACCGGTACGATTAGCATAACAGTATAATAAAGGCCGTTCAAACGTTTTAAGAATACTCGCTACGCATCTAAATCGGGTAGGCCGTATTCCCAACAGGAAGCAGACACAAACTGAAAGGCTTAGGCGAAAGCTCGTCAATGTCCAAACCAATGATTAATTCCTTCCATAGTCAAACACGCGGCTACGTAATATGTCCTTGGGACCTGCCTTCATCTTGATAATTAATTATAGCGAGAAACCAGTAGGAAATTTCAATTGAAATTGCTGTAAATCTTTTTACTGGAAAAGAAACATTCAAGACCGAGGAAGTTCACGTGTATTAGATACTACAGGCAATCGAGATCGGTCATCGACCTGCAAGAGTAGGAAGTAAACTCAAGGAGAAATTACCTCCAGTCGTTAACGCAACTTTAAACGGAGCTCGGGAAAGACTTGAAAATTTAATTGTTCGTCAAAGCGAATCCGCGAGTTTCACAGTCTCGTGGACGCGTGAAATGCGCGATAGAAGTGTTAACTGAATACATTTAACAGACTACTAATTTTTATCTTTACGCTACGGAACACAATTTATAGGTACGTAAATCCCAAAAGTCGAGATAAGATGTGCGCGAGGAAAAATATTTTTTTCAATGTATGTGGAGTTTGTACGTAAGTAGCAGGTGATTCTATAATAATTGGAGACAGAACGAGCCCGATAATGAATCACCAGCCGTTTTATCTGGAACTGTAGATAGTACAAGCATTATTATTTCAGATAATAATATTACGGTACCGTTATATGTATAATACTTTAAGCTCATAGTTTGTAATTTAAATTTTTTAAGTCTTGAATATTCAGACTAAAATTATGTTCCTATCAACGGTTCGTAGATTTGATAAGACTTTGCGCCAACGAACAATTTAAGGAAAGACCCGTTAGTCGAGGCTCTGAACAGCTTTCCAACGTCAGAATACTTCACAGAGAATAATGGCAATTGCCTACTGAGGGCATTTTAATTAAGCGATCTCGCCGAGCTACGACTTCTGCGAAACACCTTCAATCCTCGTGCCACTGCGTCGTGGCGCGTTTACAGAGGAATCCTTCCGCGTTGCTGGCGAGCCAATGTAACTAAATCAACATAAAGATCGACAGTCAATCACGAACTCGTTCCTTTCATCAAGTCGTTCACTAAGAACACTAGGAAATACACTATAGCAGCTCGTGATGTATAAATTAGACTGTGTTCAATAGACATTTGCTCTTTCACATGAATTGTCCAAAAATGTAGTTCTTTAATTCCTTGGAATAGCAATGTCTGGCTCATTCCCTAGAACATGAATTTCTGTTAAGTATTTTGAATAATATATCAATCTACCTAGATGAATTTGAAAGTTTTAGAATCCATCGACACTTCGCACAATTGCTTCAATTTCAAGATACCTCTACCATCCTTGAAACAAAGTTTACATTCACACGAGCAAAAGTTCTATAGCTGTGAACACAATTGAGAAATAACAAAATACTCATTCTTCGAGGTACTCCTATCCTGAATAATGATGCCCAACGCTATCGTTTACATCCATCTCCCCCAAAAAAAATCCCACGTCAACACTCACGTACGTTCTCTGAACTTAACGATGACAAATAACGACTCGTCTACTCGAGGACCGTGCACGAAAGTCTGGAAGACCCCGTGAAAGCTTCCAGCGGGAATGTGGAAGTCCAAACGCACCGACCACGACTGACAGCCATGAAGATCTCATGGAGAACTTCTATTGCTCGTTCGTACTAAGCGTGTTCGGAGTGGGAGACCATTCACGCCATTGGTCTCGAATGTAGCTCTACTTATTCCCCACCCCTTGTTTCTCAATCTTTTTTTTTTTGCGCAAGCCTTACAAAATCTAAGCGACGATTTTACTCTCTTCTCGAGACCAGGAATAAACAAAACTCCCATGTAAAGAAAAATAAACAATTCGTTATTTGCTCCAATAAAAACTAATCTGAATTGCATAGCGAAACTGTCAATCCCACGTTGAACAAGTAAAAGCAGCGAGTTATCATTTAATATTTGAATACAATTTTGTCCCTCTCTGCTCGAACACACATATACATGATGCAATCGTTTGTAGCTTGTCGCCGCCTTAGTAAACACGCTTGCTTCAATTTTTTGCTTCCAGATATAGCATTGTTCGATATTTTCTCGCGGAAGCATTACGATGTGTACGTTTATCGATTGATTTCTGCGTTTGTCTTTTAGTTTGTCGGTAGTAGTACTATTTGATTTCAGCTAAGGAACGACCTTGGTGTTTCAACTCGTTTCTTATTCCTATTCGCTCCATATCTTCTAGTTAGCTTATCAGTATGCACAAGCGTGTGTCATACGCAATTCACGATCATTTTCGTGAAGACCAACAGTACAGTGTACTAATATATGGAGTAGAACTCCTAGAATATAAGACTGATGAATAGTTGTTTTTATTCTCAGTCATAACCACATTGTGACCAATGCTAAAACATATAGGCTTTCTTTTATGCAAAACTCACCTATACGTTCCTTTGCTCTGCGGACTTTCATAATCGATGCGTCGTTTTTTGTGCTCGTACTGAAGAGAGCCCGCAGAATGTGAACGTGCCCTCGAATGGCTGCGAGTACGGTGACGCCTCCTGCTTCGCGGCATCTGGAACAAACATCAGAATTTTGCTTTGTTAATATGTAAATATTTCAGTTACTTGTCACAAAATAAAACAATATGTGAATACTGAAAATGTTCTAACAGTAACGATGCAGTTCTATATAAATTGTCTGGCAAGGCTATCAGTGCTTTAACAATACCAAAATATGTATTTCTGGTTGTAATGATGAAACTGTTATGTATACATATACTAGCATGCCCAACAATCATTACCTCCCAAATATTGTTACAGATTCAGATGTATTCGACTTTTTATAGAAGAAATGAAATACTCAGATGCACTGAATGATATATGATATAACGATGTAGCTATGCAAAGCACACTAAAAAATAACCAAAGGTTATATCATACATGCATAAGAAAAAGAAACTTCACATTCAAGAATGACACACATAAATTAACTAACTAGATCTAATTATTTAACTTTTACTATTTCTGTAACACTTTTCTTGTTAAATCTAATAATCTTAAAAATGTGTGCAAACACCACCCATGAATGAAAAATATAAAAATTATAATTCAATTCTTTATAACCATCATTAGTTTCAACGATCGAAGAGTAAAGATTACATTGAAGGAACAGAGACCAGCAGTAAAGTATGGATGAATGGTATCTATTAACATTAATATATTAGGGTTGATTTTCAAAAGTGACCAATGCGAAACTATTAACAACACTGATGTAATGAAACGAAGAGTCGAAGATTATAGATGTACGCAAGAGTACAGATGTATCTGCGATGTTGTCGTATGACATTCCTACAGGAATTAGGATCAGAGCCTTTCTACAGAAGCCAGACTGCGTGTACTTACATTGGGGAGACGAAACAGGCTCACTTGATCCCAAATGAAATCGAAGATGGATGATATCCAGGAACGTGAAGATGATGCTTGTGGTATGACACTGTTTTTGGACAACGACGTGGACATCAGCTCAAAAAATTCTGCAAAATGTGGGCACTCGCATCGTAAAAGCGTACTAAGCACTACGAAAGAGAACGACCCAATCCGTAAGGATAAATAAAAATACCTATCATTCGCGAGAATTACGAATGTGTCGTGTAGCACGACACACTGGTATACAGTGACAAGAGTGTGAGTGTTCCGCAAACAAAATTTGTAACAACTTAACAAAATCTTCTTATGAACAAGATCCATACAAAATATTAAACGAATTTAAGCATATTTTGAAGCATAGAAGAGTTGATTAGTGTAGGTGTGAGAAGTAGTGGTTTATCAAAATGTTTCTTACCAGTAACTGTTTATTTAATACATCCTGACTTTATATCGACAATTACGATACAGAAATTACTCGAAAATTTCTTTACGAAAATAGCACAGTCACTGTTACTTGAAAAAGTGTGTCGTATAAATGTTAGCCATGAAAATGTGTGTCGAAAAAAATTGGGAAGCACTGGTGTAACGTAACCCTATGCAATCGAGTGGATTTGTACGACGCGTGAAAACGGCTACACGAGTCCCGCCAAAATCTCTTTATGGTGGAGCTCACAAGAAACGTGAAAAGAGAAGTCGACTGGAATGACGAAGCACGAAGTGCACGTTAGAGAACGCAATGGAAAGAAGAAAGATGAAATGGAAATGAGGTAACGGATACGCGTGGGCACGCTCGCTAGCAAAATCGATGTTAACGAGATGCCTGGCTTTCGACACAAGGCGACGAGCTGAACGTTAACATCGTCGAAGAACAGACCGTGGGTTGTAATCGAATACGATGCGCAACACATTCGATAACTGCGAGGGAGTGAAAGCGATGAAAATGTACAAATAAAGAGACAGATTGCAAAGCGTACGCCATAAGGGAACTTTCATGAAATGGCGGCCATCTTGAAGATAGAGAAGCATCAAGTACAAGTGAACGCAACACATGCACAATTTCTGTCCAACATATGATAATAATTCAATTTAAACTTATCGCGATCAATCGCGAGAATGTTGACTTACGTTGAAGAGATGAATCAGGCTCGATTGGTCCCAAAGTATACTCGCAAACACAAAATATCCAAAGAGCGCAACGATGTCCTACGTATAACACTGTTGTGTGACAACGACGTGGAAATCGGATCGATGCGATTGGCGAACGATACTCGGCTATGTTCGTACGGCATCGTTCCACGAACGGAACCGAGCACCCACGGACGGGGCCGACCAGGGCCGACTAACCTTCACGTACGTACTTCCGGCAGATACAAAAAAAGACGTAACACACGTAAAATGTGCCGGCTACTATATTAATACTATTTCGATATTTATCAACGTTTTATCGATGTAAGACAAAAATTTTCGAATTTAAAGACAATAGTAATCGATTCAATGAATATTCTTTCGAAAAATTGTACACTCAATGTCACGAAATTAGTACTATTTCGAAATTACACAGAATGATACGTTGTAATTAAATAACGAATTTATGTAAATATTTCTTAAAATATCATCGAATTATTTCGACCACGTTGAATATCTTTGCAATATTGGTATTAAAGACTCGAATATTTTTACATAATGAGCCGAAAATCCAATCGATTATATTATGTAACGTGGAAATTAAATATTATGAATGTTATTGCCAATGCCGGTATAGGTGTAAGATATTTGTTTCGAATTATACGATATTCGAAGTGTATATGATGTGTTTGATAACCTCACAAGTTCGTGACACAAAAAGGGAATCCAGTATACGTAAAATACGTGAGAGTGATGTATTCGTGCTGAATTACAGTGTACGAAATACTATCGTATAATAAAAGCAATATCTTCGCTTGAAATGCGATTTACGAAAACAATCGAAATGTTTAATTCGGAGCGTCGACGGTATTACGCTTAATTTGTCACAGAAACCTTACGTACCTCTCCCCAAATCAAATTATTAATTATCCGCACGACACCACATTTGATCAAAGTCATTAAACTCCAGAACATACTTTAATTTTAAGTGAAAACAGAACGAATCATGATGTTCACGAGGCTGCGAGATAAAAATGTAATTCCGAGTGAGTAGTTGATGACCTCTGTATATTATCCTAGGTGGCACCACAACACAAGTGCATTAGGGAGGATAACTACATCGTTATCGGTAAAACTTTTCATGGACAAAGGATACCAGCTGCGCAAGGCAAATAAACGTAGCCGCGAAAATTTAAAAACAAAAAAAAAATTAAACATGCAGTTTCGATTGTACGAGCAAACTCACTTTTAAGAACGAAAACATTTACGATTACTTGTGTCACTTTTTTAACCTAAAGTAAATTTGCTCCTACAATCAAGAACGAAAAATTTAATAAAAAAATAAATATTACTTTCTTATATTAATCTTTTCCTCACCTTTGATATCGTATTGAACGTCATATGCCTACGATTAGATTGTGTCTGATTGCAGTAACTCATTATCGCCGAAGGAATCAATTCTGCTGCGTACGTCCATAATTCTTTGTACGATTGCTGCAAGCAATTCGATCACTAATTTACATTGTGTTTGATTTAATGTTCGCACGTTTCACTCGACGAACACATTTCTTGCAAAGAATCGTACAATGTTAAATAAATAACCAAACGATGATGTGGGTCGCGACTAGCTTTGTTGAAACAAGCTTCGAGTCTCGGAGCTTTCAGAGCCTGCGCCGTAGTACAAGCCATTAACGCTAGGAAGCACAGAAGTGACTTACAGCTGAGACCCACAACTTTTGAGACTTAATTCAGAAATCTTTATTTAAATATATTTAGATAAAATATTTTTAGCGTAAGAGTAATCCACTAATGGAAGTTTATATAGATAAAGCAATATAATTATACCTAAGCAATTAAATGAACTTAGATTATCGAACACTGCAGTGACTCGCTGTTCAGGACGTAAATCTACGATTCTTTAAGCTCACTCGAGCTTTACATGCAAGCTTGAAAGTCTCAGTTTTTAACATTGAGCCTTAAAACTTCGAGGTCTCAGTCCTTAACATTGAGCCTTGAAGTTTCGAAGATGCATATTTATATGCAAGCTGTCACTCAAGCCTTTCCATTGTACATACAAAACAGTTTCAATCTCCGTGGGGGTCACGTCGATAACTCGAGACGACGGTAATTACCCCATGCAAAGGCCACGTGATACTAGTAGACACACGCCAATGGCGCTTGCGAGGGAGGGAAAATCACGATCGTTGAATTGGTATTATCAATGAAAACACAAACAAATATGGTATCAATTTACCCTCACGTAATTTTCACTTCACGTACCTGTCGCTTGCGGTAATTGCCCTGACCCCTCAACGCGCTACTTAAGATAGATACGTTTCTGGTGGTAAAACGATAGAATAGACACTGTACGAAACCTGCACCCATCTTATCCGGATAGCTGTAGCTTACCGAGAAGACTATGTGCAGGTAACGTGCTTTACTGTGTTGCGCTTGCGCTCTATCACGAACAACTAACCCCAGACGCGACATGATCTCGTCCCGTCTCGTTTGATCGCAATTAAACAACAAAGGGTATTGTCTCCTGGCCTATTCGCGAATCGTCGTTGCTTAATCGTATGTAAATAACGGGACAAACGTGTCGAAGGCGATACAACGTGATTCACGAATTAATTATGTAAGCTTACAAGTTGGAAGCCGTCCATTGATTGGAGAGCTTGTCCTTGTTTCTACCGGGCACAGGAGGCGAGACGCGTTTTTGGCGACATCGTTTATGGTCTTCCTGTTTCCCTTGAATGACAGTAAGACGCACTGGTCGAGAAAAGGCTAGTAGGCGCTGAATATTCTACGGTCATTTTCGAATTACGTGGCATTCAGAGCGAATTTAATGTTGGCCTCAAACCAAGACCCGTACTTTATCTAAAGTGGGACTAATAGGAATGCTAAAAATATTATCCCCTCATTCGCGCCTCGTGAAATCCAATTTGAAGATAAACGTGGATTGCACGTACAGTGGATGTAAACTGTTGTAAATTATACACATTCGCTAGTGATTGTTTACCTGTAGTTAACTTTTTGAACTTTTGGGTAAATGTAAGCATAAGTAAATATACTACTACCACAGTACAGGGTGGAAGGACAAGTCAGGAATTCTAAAGGGTGATTCTACATCTAAAAATAAGAGAAAAATCAAGAATGACGTAACTGCGTTTGAGACCTTCTGTATGAGTTATTAATTATTATAGATACCAGTGAAAGGCGTCTGAAGCGAGGGACTTATACTACTGATGACGCGCGGCAGTAGTATGAGTCCCTTACGTCAGACACTTAGCTCTCCTTCAGTGACTAATAACTTTGTCACAAAGTCGCAAACACAATTTTGTTATTCCTGATTTTCGCCCTACTTCGTCATGTAGAATCTCTCAACTAAAATTTAGATACCTGTACCTTCCATTATTCAATTCCCGGACTGTTCCAAATTGCATGGACACTGACATAAATAATCTGTGCATCTCGACGTTTACCCCCATTCGCTGCAAAAAATGGCGTCGTCCAGAGAATTGGGCAAATGCAGGGCGCCAAAGGGGTGCGCCTCCAGCGTTTCTGGGGTGGTAGATCGGCGACTGGATTCGCGGAGACTGGCAGTGTATTCGTGGTACCGCGTCCTCTCAGGCAATGAAAAGGATCGATGTGGTTTCCTTGGTAACGACACCGTCGGAGCACCGAGTACGAAACTGATGCAGTAACGACGTCGCCGTCACCATCACCGAGGGCTGATACGCTGCTCTCGGACGCGTCGCTCTACCACGCGTGTGTGCGTCCGCTATCCCTCACCTGTGCTGGCCAATTTGTAATATCATTAATAAATAATCAGGAATCATTGTTAATAAATAATTGGCAATCGCAATTAAACCACATCTGTCTACAATGTGCAGAAGAGATGTGTTCAGAATGTCTTAACGATGTGTATCATTGCAACGGCTGTTTAATTAAAAATTTGTTATCAAAGAATCTTATTTTTGAAACGTTCCGACTGTTCAGTTTTATTGTACTCTTCTGTGCTTGGAGATTGTTGTTTCTTTGAGTGGAGCGCAGTGTTTGATTCTAAAAATTATGAAAATTAATGTAGATTTGCGTACATATTTACTCAGAGGTGTCTACAAATCAATACAGAATTAAATGAAATACTTGTAATAGTTCTTCTGATAATTCACGCCAGCTATGCTTAAAAGATTAAAGCATCGTTGTTTGTGCTTACAGATTACAAATGTAGCTTATCGTTACTGATTAATCTGGCGATAGTGAGTGATTATCACAAGAGTGATCCGCTGGCCAACTCTGTTCCTCGTGGAGTGTTCAAACCGCACGACGTCGCTACGAAACAGGGAACATCATGAGGAGGTGTCAGACCCTCCACTCCAAGACGTTGGCGATAGGGACTCGTTGGATCGTAGGGACGTCAAGAACGGGAGGATGCACGACCTACCGCGCCAAGAGAAACCGAGGATTCTCCTGTTGCGACGGTGGAGCGACATGCCAAAACACCTTCAGTTCAACCCTCACATCCGTACAGGATACAGACCGCTCATGACCGTCCGCCAGTGCCTCGGTAGCCTATTTTACATCCACAATGAGACCGTCAATATCATGACGCACGGTGAGTTTCCGAGTAGACACTGCGATTCAATGGCACTTGAAGAGGAACACCACCTATCGCGACCGTGAGTCGCGGTGTTCCCCCTTAAGTTCTCAGCTGCAGTCGGATCGAAATCAATTGACCGCTCAAGGCCACGAGAAGGGTCGTTCTCGCTTTAGCGGTTTGTCCTTGAAAAGCTGACATGGTCCGTGGAAGCATAGAGAGTGATCTTGAACTGTTTACGTCGCTACAAATGAAAATAAGTGTTATAAGAAAACGAGTTCGTATAAACATCACAGACTGTTATAGATTGCAAGCTCCTTGCAATTGTAACACATTCTAGTATCTGCTCCGATCTTAAACAATCAAAATTATATGCAATTTATGTGAAAATTGAAGAACAGAGAACGTATAAAAATAGTTTCTTAAAGAGCAATTAGAATGTGTTAACAACTTTCGTTCCTCGCAGTCTTCTCAACGAGAGCGGTCTGATCGAATTAAATAGAAAAATGGATTACCCTTGAGTTACGCGATTTCAAGGTGAGGTACCGCGAGAGATCTTCATGCTCGGATCGGCGCATTGCGGGATAGCTAAAAATCGATCGTCGAAGCCGTACGTTATCCTTCCTGCATTTACTCTCGACACCGATGCATGAAAATGACAATAGTGGTGCCGTATTAACGGAATCGATATCGTCGTTCGTTAGAGAAAAATACTGAAACGAAAATACCATGCTATATTGATCAGTAACGAGGTCGTTAATAATCAAAGACGAAAGCGTGATCGCTGAACATAAATGTCGCGCGCTCGTGTTTTGCTTTTATCCGATGAATTATTTACTTAACGCGACACTGTTCATTTATGCATGCAACGATTTATGCAATACGACGTGACAGAATTGTCTGACCGCGTTCAGAGGATGGAGGTGAAATATCCTCTATCGACCTGCACGTGTATGCGCGACACAAAAATGTTATCGGGTCAGGAGTTCTATATTTTTCTTAATTATTCTTTCCTTACGCGAGAAATGGCACTAAGTCGATTTATAGGAATAATTCGTTTCAGGATTCGCTATCTTGTATATGCTATTGACGATACCACAGCTTCTTCCATGGGGTGCCCAAGGAATCTTCACGCAAATCTTATCTTGGTGTCACCTGATCGGCGCTATTAGCCCGTGGATAGGATCCTTCGTCTATCATCTCTTCATGAATTTAAATTACGACGACGTCTTCTACAAGAAGTTGCTGAGATTAGACATGATTGGCATATGGCTGTGCCAAAGCTTCGGTAAAATATTCCTATCGAAAATCATGTGATCATCTCGAACCCTGATGTCCACGCAGCACGGAATATTGCATAAATATTTCTGTTAAATTAACTGAAAGGTCACAGTTCAGTCAGTAAGGCTGCTTTCCCGCCTAATTCAATATACACATGTGTATAATGCAGGTTATTAATATATTCTTTAAAGTTATGGTTGTTTTGCAATATTGCTAAATTATTTTTAAACCGACTTGCATATATCTAACATTGTAGTCATATTCATGTGATGCTCCACGCCGTGTAACACATTTTACTAACTGCAATCTAAATTTCAAATTCAAACATGGATCAAGGTGAAACTTTCCCTTATCGTTTCAGGAGCAATACCCATGATAGCAGCATCCGTTCACTGTTTACCTAACAGCTGCTGGTATTGCTGTATTTTTATCTATTGCTTTCTCAGCATTTGGGGACTTCTTATGGTACGTCATTTTCCCTTTCATGATTCAGGTTTTTTCAAATACTAATTTTCAATCCTTTTAATCTTCGAATGCTATTTATTCCATAGGCAATGAACGCTTACTCTCCGTGGGAGAGAAGATTATGTTTCGCGCCTCCCTTTCTCATGAGGATGATGGTAATGATTCTACGATGTTTTGGGATTGGTGGTGGATCTCCAAATGCTCTGCATCACATTGTATTACAAGTAAGACATAGAATGTGTGAAAAAACCATTTTTCACACATTTCCTGGAACATAATACTAGAGCAATTACTTTTCAGGACCTGATAGCTGTCGTGGGAGCAACCATCGGGGCTTTGCGTATACCTGAGAAATGGATTCCAGGCAAATTAGACTTCATACTGAATTCTCATAATTTGATGCATGTGCTGGTTGTGCTGGCGGTTTGCTCGATGCACGCTGCCACCTTGCAGGATCTTGCTTGGATGACCGATCCGTCTACGTGCAACGGGACGAGATTCGTTCCATCAATGCGCGACGAACTGTGATTGAAACGTGAAGACAATTCACTGTAGTCTGTGATAAATTTGAGCCTACAACAGCCGGCGATTACTCGTGTAGGTGCAATCGATGACCAAAACACCTTTCGCTCGACGAGCGGGAGAAGTCTTTTTAAACGCAGTTGTACAGAAACGAATGGATATACAGATTGTATGTATCGAAGCAACAGGGTGATAATGAGAGGATATTTTACTATGGAGATCAAGTACAATCATGAGTACAAAAGTGAATCTGTCATATCGAGAATAATGATGTAGAGTAACAAATGTCCAAGGTAATTCACGCATCGAGAGGCAACGGAATGGTTTTAACGATGGCAATATAAAAGAAGAACGAGTGAAATAAGTAAGGTGGAATAAGCACATCAAAAATACGTTTATTATCGTAATTGTAATAATAAACATCCACAGCAATTATACAAGATGTGTTCCAGGGCACTCATCTCTTTGATTAGATACATCACTTCACAATGTCAATACTATCACTTAAAAGCATTAAAACGGTTCGAAAATATCGATCGGAATTCACTCGATTCCATCGCTTGTACGATTATTCGTATACAAATTAGTTGCCTATATGAACGTATCAAGAAATTATATTAGAAGGGAATCGACTTATTCACAGTTCAATCAATTTCATAATTACAAAATAAGTAAATAGTATATGCATTTGATTAATCATATCTTCAGTTCTTCCATATACTTTGACTGAGTGCATACGTTTTTAAGCGAGGTTCTATGTAAAATTAATATCGAACAGAACTGCAAAAAATATAGTTTAAACAATATATGGTTTTAAACATAAATAACTGATGAAACAGTATCGCTGTACTTTGACCTACAAATGAGCTCTTGCTGTTCTGACTGTTCGTATAAGTTTGCTTGCTCCGGTAGTTTATAGTTTGACCAAAATTAGTTATTAACGATAATCCTGTTGTGTCAAAGCCATTAATCTTCAATTTTATTTCTATGAAAAATGTGATAGATAATAAATATAAATAAAATATATAAAAATAATTTTTGAAATACGAGCACCTATTTTGAAAGCACATAAGGCACTGTAAAGTGCGTGATATAATAATAAAAATCTAAATTTATGAATTATTTATCTACACTATCTATTTAAAGATTAATGTAGACGGTAGAGTTTAAGTGAAAACTGTAACGTGAGAGCTGTATAATATATAAATAAAAATTATTTAAAAAAGTCAACAAAAGAAAAAATGAAGAATAAAGTATTCTCTTATTACGACCGTATGCATCATACATAATTATAAGCCAAACAATATAATAAAGAACATGTTTATAATATATATATATATCAAGAGTAATTTGTATAAATAACGCTGGCCTGCAGAATTTACTCTTTTCTCACATCTTCGCTCCATTATTGTACTTTTACGTACTTCGGACGATTAAAGGTTTTAGATTCTATTACTGCAGAGGAGCTTCGCTTTCTTGGGTGTAACTTTTAACTCTGCTAAATTTTAAAGGTGGATATCGCCCGCCGATTGGTGATACTCTCCATTCGGTCACAGATGGCTCCTTCAAACACATTTTAACTTCGTGTCCGTTTCTGTACTTTGTAAATATAGAATAAGTCAACCATTTCAACTGTGAATTCAACCGTCTGAAGTGATTTTGAATTTCGAATTCCTAAGAAAACGTAGAAACATTATCTTGAAATGTTTACTTCGTTTGAATCGAATGCGACGACTAAGGACACTTACAATCTGAAACGTTTGTTCCCCACTGTCGTCTATAGGTTCCCTTTTCTTCCTTCTGTAGGTATTAATTGCTTTCACTTCTTGTTTGTTGAGCACCAGAGTGACACAATTATTGTGCAATCTGTAGTGACCAATTAGTACCGATGGATTTCGCGGCACGCGATTTTTTAAGGAATTTACACAACTTTGTGCTTCATCAGTCGAAGTCAGCATTAAAACTTTTCCTTCAGGAAAAAATCTGGTTGTTGAGGAAACACGATTAGAATTGGAAATTTGTAACGAATGTTACTGTTATGGTGTTGCATACCTCAGGTACCTAAAGTATTCCACCAGATGCCAAGGTCGATAAAATTGATCTTGGAAACTATTTTCACCGTCGCGAATATAACTGATTTTACATATATAACATCCATTATATCTTAGTCTAGGCCGTTGTACATACATTTCTCTCCATGATTGGTATTTTGGAGCATAGGTTCCACAATTTACACCCCATACTCTACATAATTCATTAACTGTATATTGTATTGCTATTATTAGGAGAAATTTAATAAGAGATGCTTGTGGTTTACCTAATACAGGCAAGTCTCCAAATCTCTGTATCTCTTGCAGATATGTAAAATCCACGACATACTCTGGAGAACATTTCAAGAGATCTTAAGTCAAGTTCTGATGATACTACCCATCTTAAGATATACAGCACTATTTCCATAGGCAAGGCAGAAATATGTGTCGTCTGAAATACGAGACGTATCGCAACAAACCGTTATGATGTTTTCAAAATTATTTAATTCCGAAAGGTGAGTACTCACGTCTTGTTCGAATTTCGGAAAACAAACACATTTATTACGATTTATAATTTTGCATAGTTTGACAAATAAATCGCTCTCCTCGTCGTCATCGTCATTGTAATTTTCATTGTCGTTATCGATATCGTTTGTAGTGTTATCTAAGTCTTCTAGACTATCATCATTGGACTTTAGCTTTGTCGAATCATACAAACGAAATTCAATATCAGGAACTAATTGCACAGCACGTTTGTAGAACTGAATTGCTTCGTAAAACTTTCTACTTTGTTCGTATTCAATTCCTTTCAAAAACAAATCCTTTGCCTATAATTTGGAATTCCTTATATTATTTCTTATATTCCAAGTAGGTAATTCCTTACAATAGAGAAGTATTGCTCTATTAGTACATGCTAATATCTGTCATACCCTGACTTCAATGGATTCCTCATCGTAAGCAACATCTATTTTAACTGCTTTTGAGGAATGAGCATTGGGTACATCTCGTTTTGGTGACAACTCCAAAACGCGTTGCCACTGCTCTCTGAAAGATGTTAAAGCATCCTCGATCTTGGTCTCAGAAAAAGAAGACCCTTCCTGATCGTCTCCGCCGTCATCCGACTCACCAGATTCACTGGAGTGGCTCTATCGATAGAAGTAGTAAGTGCATGTAACTTGCTTAATCGATCAAGTGAATGACATTAAATCTATAGATTATAAATGAGTTGCATATGTAAACGACTTATGCTCTCTTAGACTGACTATTCAGAAAGGATAGGAATTAAATTGAAATTTGATTTAGGGAGTACTAAATAGTATACTGTATCAGTTTGTATATTTGTTGCGACGCAAAGTAAGAAATCGACAAATTATTTCTTCATTGAGAAACGATACAAGAAATTATGTCTACTGCATTCAAGAGGTTAGCTCGCTGTAGGGAACATTTTACACGACAAAACGAAAGGACAGCCATTGTTTTCAACGCTATACGTACCATTTTTTTTCCTTATTCAATTTTCACGGCTTTATTCCTTCAGCGCTTGTACTCTCGGTCGGAAAAACGTACGACGCAACGAAAGCACAATTTCGCCAACAGCATCGCCGCCATGGTTTTCGCCTTTCTGTATCGCGATTCAATTAAAGGTCATAATGGCTGTTCTAGATTGTCTTTCTATATTTTCAACTGACGCAATAAACCTAAAATTCTTATCACAGAAAGAACGATCATCTCAGAGAAAACAGAAGGTACTGGACGAATTAATGCATTTCATTTCATGCGTATTTTGCGTCAGCATATATGTAGGATAAGGGACTACTTTTAAACTGTAACCACGTGTGCACACGTGTGTTGATAGCGTGACAATTTAAATTTAAACGATTGGTACACGTATGGCTGTATTAAATACGTTTCGCTTGTTTGGAATAATTGATCGGTGATATTGCTATCTCGATTTGCATCAATGTTATCTTTGGAGTAGAGCAAGTCAAATAGGAGTTGTATGGTACCAATGTTTAATTTTGGAGGGAAACGCTAGGTGGATCTTGACAATCGAATACAGAAGCTTTGTAAAAAAGCGTATTTTTGTTGTTGTTGTGTTTTTTTTGTAGCTTGTTGGGCCAATTAGAATATATATATCACATAAAATAAGATAAGTATAGGAAATAGGAACCAGTTAGAATGTAACGAAAATGAAAAGCAAGGACCAGAAGGTTTCTAAAGATAGAGAGAAATGAGATAAGGGCGTATTTTGTATATAGTAGTTTTTATTCGAAGAAACAAAATATGTTAAGTTTTAGGGATGTAACATAAATGTAAGCAGCCTCATTCTGTAGAGTAGTTTTAAGAGAACAGTTGTAATATCTCGAAAATGCGCTAAATCGACAATAGGATCGATTAAATTAAAAAATGTATCGTTAAAAACACTAGTCTAAGACATTGAATGTAATATAGGCTATAAGAATACGTAAACATATTTTTGGGTCAAGAGACCATATTTTATCGTACAAGAAAAGTGAAAAACAGTCCTGTACAGAACAACACTATAAATAAAGGATAAAGAAAGAAAGAAGCTTCGTATGTAACCATTTATCGATGAAGGTTTTGCATCGTGGCATTGTTCAGTGTTGTTATTTTAGACATTGACTCCAAAGATAACAATAAAGATGAAATGTTCTTTCATGGAGCGTGTCTCATTGCGGCAAATTTATGGGTTTTGCAACACATTTACATAATTAATGACGGAGAAAGGGCTAGGCTGCTAATTACATGTATCGTGGACATTAAAACTGACCACACGGTTATAAAACAGTGAGAGTGAAGAATTGGAGATCTTCAGCGTATCGTTATTGCCGATTTCGTAGCGCGTACATCCACCGAAACTGCATTTGCTGCGGTATGATTGCGATAAAATGCGAAATTTGATTACTATTATGCATGAAATAATTGATACCGGAACGCTGAACGCGATTCGTTTAGAAATCGATTGTTCCAAACCGGTGGAGTGACTTTCTCTCAGAAAGATTTATCCGATTGAAATTTTAATTTTATATTCGCTGCGATATTATTTTCAGAAAAGCAAACAAAATTATTTGGAACACCCTAGAAATATGTATAAACTGTTTCGATGTTGTAAAGCTTCGATCCTACGTGCTCCAATAACAAAATATTTCGATCCCAAATGTTCCAACAACAAAATGCTTTAATTATTTCTACCCTAAATGCTCCGTGTAAATCATACAACGGTTTTCACGAAACGCGATTATCGCTGTACGTGTGTACCTTTAAAGAATGCACGTATTTATTCAACGATAAATATTTAAGTACACGATAGAGGGACAAAACAAACGTATGACGACTGAGCCATGGCATTCATTCGATTGGACACTTGAATTCCTTTCAAGAAATATTATATTTTTGTGTGTCAACTGTAAAGCATGAAGGCTTGGTGCGGTGTTTTTAATTACCACTCTGTTCCTTCTCGGTCCAGTTATGCTCCCGTGAAATGTTATTTTAAGGAATTTTCGTAGACTCTAGAAGTTTATACTCTGATTGCAGCTAATTCGTAAAGCGTTAGCTTATTATTTAGAGGTAATTCAAGGAAACACTCTTTGAGCGAAATGTAGATCTATATCGCACCAATCAAGATACGCGGAAACAAAAACTATCCTACTGAACTACATTGCACGATTTATACTGGTACCAATTTTAAATTCGATCCGGTCATGTTTCTGTTCTGTGCAATAAAAAGAAAAATGATTTAAAAAATCGCAATTTAAATAAATTTTTATGTGCAATAATAAAAAAAAATGTCAATTGTGTAAATGCAGGAAATGCAAGTGTTCTCCAAATAGAAACGCAACATAATAGAACAGGTTCTCGGTTATTTGGAAACCATCGACAGAAGCGATTCGCTGGCTCGTGTCGTTTCTTCCACCGTTGGCATGTACCATACACGTGTATCAACATCGTGGACCCCTCCTCTTCCACAAAACTATCACTACCCGAAGATCATCTTCCCAAGTAAAAGCCGCGTGCTAACCGAGTGTGGCCACAGACAGCATCATGAGCTTGGTGAGTACGAAACTACTCATTCACTGTACTTTTCCTACGTATAAGTTTCTCCATTTTCACTATCGTTCACCTGGCATCCCGCACGCGGACGTTTTTTTTTTTTTTCCAACGACGGATGCGCCTTCGCGCCGTGTGACAGTGAATCGCGCCCATTAAACCATAAGTGAAAAGTGTTAAAGAAAGAGCAAGTGTAACGCGTCGAAGGACTTCTATAGTCGACTGTGTACAAACTTGTACTTACACGTATGTACTTCAGGGGTTTGTAAGTCACGGTTTAGAAATATTGTCATCATTGGATTATTTTTCAGGTGACTTAAGGTGTTTAAGCCAAAGTTTGAAATTTGGGTTCGATGTACCTCTGGGCTATGGATGCTAAGAAAAATTGGAGTTTGATATTAAAACTACCGAGCCATATATTTCAAGATCCTTTTTAAAGCGATTCTATCATTAACGATGCTTTCATTTTAGAGACGATAGTAGTTGGGAATTAATTATACCCGTGAATTGGTTCACCTCTAAATACAAAGGTCTACGTTAGATAGTTTTACTAGTGGAAGTTAATTTTTTTTTTTTTTTTTTTTTAAATAGACGAATATTCAAATTTTGATAACGATTTGTTATAGAGACGTTTCTGCGTTAATAACAGTACGTAAATTTCGTCAACTGGGTGGCAATCGAAAGTTAGTGGCGTGCGACTCGTTGCTGGAAAAATTCAGATTTCTATCCAGAAGAAGTTCCCGATGAGCATTCTGTGCAGTCGACTTTCTTCTCCCGTGGTCGTGTGTTCCACGATTCACGTATGTGTCTCCGAGTGTGCACGTATACGTGACGCATCTCTCAGTGGTTAATTCGTCGTATATTTATCCAACGTCGATGTCACCGTTCCAGATTAATTAACTATACTGCAGGTAGCAAGTATCGTTTAAAGTCTTCCCGCAAAGCATTTTGTTATTGGAGTATTTAGGGTCGAAACATTTAGGGTTAAAGGATTTTGTCATTGAAGCAGTTGCGATTGAAGTTTCTTGAAACTCTTACTCCGAAGAAGGCACGTATAAATAAAGCGAAGACTTAACCCTTAGTTTGCAAACTATCGGCAACGTCGGTAAACGTTTCACCCTTCGATTCCTCATTGCTTCTATTATAGTTTCACTGCACGTTCATTCTATTATCATTAAAAAAACTTTCCTTCGGTCATCGCACAGTGTTCCTGCAACGTATTCCTTCCTGTCCTCGACGTGCTATCTTCTTAACTGCTTGCATACTCCACGTTTCGATACTTCACTTCTAATTGGAGCTCTTCGTACGCTTAAATGCAATATTATCTCGTACTTGTTTATCAGGAAATTTAATTCGACTCTTCTATTTACATATCGTAACATATCCCAAAAAGAAATCGTTAAATCAGTTTAAAAAAAAAAGAACTGTCTCGAATTCTTCGAACGCAACGTGCGTGCCTGCTCTAACGCAATTTAATCAACTCATTTGTTATGTAGTGCAAGAGCACGCAATTAAGAGAACGCGTTAATTGAAATTCAAATTGGTTTCACGCAAGAGTTACTGACGGTCGCGAAACACGCGAGCACGTACGACGTCTACGAGGATCCTCGTTCTTCGCGAAACATTAGACGAATTTCGTGCAGCGATAGCTTTCGCGGAGTTAATGAACCGTCACACGAGACACAGATACTATTAATTTATACCTGTAACGCATACGCGCACGGAAACTTAATACCGCGGTTATGGTCGTGGCTTTTCATCTATCGCTTACCGCGATCGGTTGCATCTGGAGTTTTTACGAGGTTATAAGGAAAAGTGTCTCGTTAACCGCGAAACTCTTGATCTTTACCTTGAGGACGGAATTGTGAAGCGAAAACGGAAGCGACTCGCGCGACAGGAGTATTATTTTCGTATTAACCGCAAAAGCATCGCTTTTTATAGGTGAAAGTACTCGAACTGGAGCATTCGAGTACTCAGGCATAGTAAATAGCCGAGTGTTCGATTATTGAGGATTTGAAGGATTCGAATAGGTACTTGAGTATACTTGAGTATACTTGAGTATTCGTGGACTCGAGCATCTAATTGCAAGAACTTGGATATTTTTCAGAATCAAGTAATTCGGTACTACAATAATTCGATACCTTAACATTTTAGTACTTCGGTACTCTAAAGCCTTAGGTACTCGAATGTATTGCTGGATTAGATACAGTGAGATCATCAGAAGCGTAGAGAGCGAAGAAAGTAGTGTCCTTGAGCGTGGGGGTCAACAGTTCAGGAATGATGTTAACTAATTCTTCCTAAGTGCCAATCGAAGACGTATCTTCCTTTTGAAACTCTTCCCTCCACTTCTACTTCAACGCAGTTGACCAATTAGTCCAAGAGATATCTAAAGAGCTAAGAACGTTCTTCATGCGTAATTTCTTTCGTCTATTGTTTCAACAATTTTTTTCAGAAAATACGTTCTCAATTTGAAATCTAAAAATTTGTAAATCAAGTGGAAAGAAAAACGTTGCTTGGCTACATCATCGGCGTGCACTGTCCAAATATACTACAGGTGTAGATGTTTTTCTTTTTTTTTTTTTTGTTTTTCTTTGTTCGGCGTGACTGACGCGTAGCGTAACGAGACGAGCCGTACATGTACGTAGAATAAGAGTAGTATTCCGCGCCGGTGAAACCGCAGGGCATAGCTAGTTCTGCAATAAAAGACACGAACCTCGTTTCAAAGTGTTAACTGTCCGTTTTCACCGCTGACAATGACAAACGACGTCGATTAAAAAGCGGACGCCCTCCAGTTCTGTTTCAATGCGCAGTCAAAGCGACGAAGCTTGTTCCTACGTATCTGTGTCCCTCGTGTGACCACAATCTGAGAGAAAGCAATTACAGAAGAATTTATGATGAGCTCCGAATTGGGTGTGGATACTCTATGCAACGTCTCCCTCGTTGACGAGTTCGTCGAACCTTAAGCAGGTGGCATCTTTTCGGAGAAGAAAGTTTTTTCCTCGCTGAGCGATGACGTACGAGTCGATCTTAAACAAAGACCAGCCACCACCGAGTCCGACACGTATCGAATCTCCTTTTCTAAATGATTGGACATTTCTTTCGTACCGACTTAATTTTATCGCTCTCGATACTCGTGGAAGATTGTGGCTAAATGGTGTTTAGCTCGAAGGAGCAAAAACATTAGAAAATTACCACGTTTCGTTCTAGATCTGTTAGTATAACTAAGCAAGTTGGCGATTCTTCGTGACCGCAAGACTGGTACTATGAAAATTGCGATTTCTTTGTCACTTTTTTTTTTTTTTTATTATAAACAGAAATGACTGGACGAAATTGAAAGTTAGCACTCGTATAGATCGTGCGATGTAGTTTAGGATAGTTTGTTTTTTCGTATCTTGATTGATGCGATATAAAATCATTCGATGTAATATTCGATAATTTTACACTGAATCTTAGGGCTGTGCCCTTTCTCACGGGGTGATTTCTTTCGAGCACTTTCCATCGATCCTTGGACGAATCGATCGCGAGTACCTCTTGCGCCTTATCCGATAAATTGTTCCGAATGGGGACGTTCCTTTGACGTTGCCACGAACCTGTCATCCTCGACTTTCACTCGTCGCCCTGCAATGCGATGCGTAGCAGCGCACGTTGCAATTAAATTCCATCTGAATCGCGTTCGACGCATCTTTTTTGCTGGCCCATTCGGGCCCTGTACTTTATTCAGCGTCAAGGACTCGTTGTATAATCGTCGGTGTATTTGGCGAGACAGTCTGAACGCACTTTCTCGCGACGAGATTTCCGCGTTTCTGCGTGAACCTGTTTCTAATACCAAACACAGCGATCCCTGTATATAACGTCTCAAGCCAGGCCTTCTGGCGTCGTTATATCGAGGGAAGGTTGAGGATGTTGCACCAGTAATGGGTACTTCATTTAAATTTGTATATATATTTGTTTTTAAGTTCAATTCTTGTAGGTGGGTCGAGGTCGTGTTTGGACTCGTTTTCACCGTAAAAACCTCGCAAATTTAATGGCGATACTTTCGTGAAGCTATACCGAGAAGAATGAGAATCGTAATTTTTATTAATGGTTTGTTCTTAGGCAGACTGATTTCTGTTTACCAAGCTGGAGATAATCTACCGATTCACGCAATTGTTGTGTGTATTTGAACACTTTCCCAGGAATAACAATATATGTCATGTGAATTGGGTAGAGTGTGATTCACATGGAATGTTGGAAAATCGTGACCGTGGGGAAACACAAATCATGGACCTCTGCACTCTAACACCTCTAACGAAGTTACGCTCTAAAGTCTGTGCACCTCGGACATCGTTCTGAAAAGTCGATATTTGACCTACTCGTCGGTAGAAAAAAAAAAAAGAGAAATTCGTTCTTAGATCTATCGATGACCGCGTTTGCTCGATCGCCGATTCACTCTGCTTTGTAGTGCCATAATCTGCGATTGTATCTCCCCGTACACCTTTTCATCGCCTTCTCATTCTAATTTTGTTAATAAGGCAATCTACTTTCATGAAGTTTCACTGGATTTGCGTGGCAGCTTGTTATTGCGTTCTGACGCTATCGCGAATCCAGGATCTAATCGGGGTGTCTCGAATCTAGACCAGATGCCAGACCATCTTCGTCTCCTCCAGATGCTTTAATTACCCCTGTTGCGTCGCGGTGTTGTCATTCCTTCGGCGTCTAGGCGTTCAACAATCGCAGAGAAAAACGTGGCCGTGCGTTACATGGAACCGAGTCCGTGGCTTGCACGTGACAAAACTCGAACGGCGAGTTCGTAATACGTATATCGAGCTTAAACGCTCGTCACAGCCGAGGAGGACACCTGGCAAGTTCATGAGCGCGAGCATCCTCGACACACTACCGAGTGAAAGTACCGCCTTCTGCCCGCGGGCTGCTTCTCTTTCAACTTATCTTACCTCCTACCGTCTTATGGCGAACACGCGGACGCTCTCCCACGGTATTTTATTCCCGATAGCGTTTGTTAACCGCTTCCAAGCTCGCCTTTTCGTTTGCCTCGTTTTACGAGGACCACGATAAGTGCTCGTTGCCCATTCCGGGAGGTTAATTGTTTTCTCTGCTGCGAGAGGCTCTTTCATTTCTTGGGGTGGATCCTCCCTCCCCTTGATAATATTTTTGTATTGTATTTTGTAACGAAGGTATTTGAGATTGAAACATTTCGTTATTGGAGCGTTTAGGATCGAAACATTTTAATATCGGAGCACTTGGGATCGAAACATTTTGTTATCGGAGCATTTAGGATCGAAGCTTTCCAGCACCGAAGCAGCGTTGAATTTCTTCAAGCTCCTACTCTAAAGAAGAGTATTCTCTTTCCGTCAGCAATTTTGTTTACCATAATTAGAACCTCCATATAGAGATTACCTTGTCAGCGCCATCAATTTTTAACCGACTTCGAAAAGGAGGAGGTTACTCAATTCGACATGTATTTATTTATTTTTTTTTTTTTTTTTTTTTTAAGCAGCATGTGTAACAGCGATTTCTGACGCGAAAAATATATCCCGGTTCGCTTTCCCTCGCGAGATGCTTGTCATCCTACGAAATTTTGGACCAACTTTCTCGCGCCAGCCGCGGTTGCGAAACCGAGCGAAAAATGTTCTAACGAGTTTCAAAAACCCGTTTCCTGGTTCTTGGCAAATCGCACACCATCGTTCTCTTGTACATTTTCTATTATATATAAAAGAAACGAATTCGTGGGAAGCAGATGCAGCGAAATGACGTTTAAAGAAATCCAAACGCAACAATAAGAAACTGAACGTGGGATAGCATCGCGGGACGTGGAGTATCGCATGATACCTATAGCAAAATTATTACCGTAATTGGAGCTTGACTGGTTCACTCCGCGTGCTGATAATTAATCCAATCGGCCAACGTATCGCTTAACGGCACTTGCTTAATTGCCACGGATTACTCGCTAACGATTAATCACCGACGAAAGTATTTGGACACAATGGAAACATTGTTTAACATTCTTAGGAGATTAGGAAGCTTAGAATTTCATTAGCAACGACGCTCCGGGATATTCCAAGCGCATTTATTTTCGTCTAGATAATTCTAATTGTACAGAGGCCTGATTTTTATTAGCTGTAGCGTTTACGTTTCTTCTCGCATCCGTAACGTTGCATCTGCACTTTCAAATGACGACAAACTATCAGACTTTTTGCGTGCAGTTGTTATTTTCTAATAGCCGAGACTGCTCGCCATGGAGAAATTCACGCTGGATCCGTTCGCGTGTTGGAAAATGACGGGCCGACGGGAGGGGAATTGTCTTCTGGAAAATCAACTCGTAGAAAGCCGATTGTCGATGAAGACGTCGCTCACGCGTACCGACGGAGAACGCCTATGGAATTTCACATCCATGCCCCTGGAATAGCAATCTATTTACTTTTCTCCCATTTCGTGGGAATTTTTTCTCGGCTGGTCGTTCCGCGGATACCGAGGCGATCACACGTGTCGAATGATCGGTCAACGGATCCATAAAAAAAAAAAAAAAAGACGATTTTCGAAAGTGAAACTCGCATCGAAAGTGCGGACGAATCGATCGGTAACACACAGGGGGACTTGTTCCCGAGTTAATGAGACGCTGAGCCGAAAAAGATCGAGATGTTCGCACGATTATTCGGCGATTTAGAAAGTTTCTGAAGATGGTCCACCACTTCGGCCGAGCCTCCGTAATAACCCTCTGTTTTTCAAAAATGGATACTGAACGAGGAATTCTTCTCTTCTAATCTTTCGAGATTGTCGATTTTCCAATAACCTTGGATAAAATATTCGCCCGGAAACAAAGAAATATAAATTTATAAAGGACGCGTGTGTTAATGCAGTCAACTTCCGATTGACTTTCACCTGTTTATCAAGGTGGTCCCGCAACATCGGAAGCGACGCGTGAAAAGGTACACACTCATTCGAGCCTGAATCGTTCATTGATCGCGTTACAAAATGTAGTATAAATTAATAGCACTTTTCATACTTTCTGAAACGAAATGTCTACACATATCCAGACTATTCTATGGAATTCTTTTTAGATCGTTGAGAGGTTGTTCAGAGGTCGGATGTACACGTCGCGACCCACGGAATTCCAAGCGTCGATGGAGTCGTAAAACGGAACAACAAGTTTCTCTTCTGGCAGTCAACAAAAGCAATAATCGTTCCGTCTATATTTTTTCCTTGTCCACGTTCGCGTCTTTAACATTTATACCCGCCTCGCTTTGTTAAACGTCGGCACGCGTTCCTCGTCGCGAGCAAACTTTCTTTGCAAATGTCAGCGGCACCCCGTTAGCGTGCTCGAATTTTTCTCTCTCGGCAAGGGTCGGCACTTAACTTGTTAAGCACACGGAACTCAGGTGTTTTCTCTTTCGGCTACGCGTTGAAGATACGACCCGTCGAACAGAAGCGTTTCGTAGCCTTAGGCGTTCCCAATCACGCGTTACACCTGCTCCAAGGTGTCCAGGATGCTCCAGTGGACTTCGAAGGGTCCCAGTTGATACGAAATCGTTTCTAAATTCAACTGTGATCGGAAACGAAATAGATCTTGATCAATTGAATTAGTTAAAGTTGTGAAATATGCTATAATACAGGATGATACGACACCGGAATTTCTTTCCTGGCAGAGATGAAAATTGTTTTTCCTTTTCGGCCGGTGAGACTTTAACGACCGGTGTGAAAGTTCGCTGAGGTAATATCTGCTTAACGGAAGGGGGCTCGCGACCTCTGGAGGCGCGGTCGCTGCCTCGAATGATCTGTTTCTCAGCTCCAACGATATTTTCTCCTCGTTTCAGGCAGCGTTTATACCAGCGAACTATAATTGCTACTTCCTGCGATAAACCGCGAACGTTGGCACCTTTTTCATTCCTGTGCAACTGCGAAGAAATCGAGGCCTTACGATCAGCGTCGAATTCAAGTCGAAAAAATCTGATTAAATGTTTTAAGATCAATTCTTAAATTGACCCTCTTTGTCTCATATTATTACCTAAACGATGAAGTACATTTCGATATGTTTTGGTATGAGAAAGTTGCGTCATATAATTTATTAACCTTATTAGAGGCGTGCGAACCCCGTTGCTCGTCAGGTAGCTCGATGAAACGTTAATTTTAATTGGTTAAATTACACGCGCGGTATAATGTTGCAATTTTCGAGTCCGAACGCCAACCTTTATACACCGTTCTCTCTCTTAGGAATTAATTAAGCGATTAACGAGTAAACGAGCCTCTCGGAATTCTACAATTTTTATCGACGAATATTTTACACATTTGGGCAACTTTCACTGCGCGAGTGATTTATGCAAGTTTGTTGTACCTACATCTTACGAAACAGTCGTCATCCGTACGTTTTGGACCCGGAAATTTTTCTTCGCACAGGCGTAAAACATTCCGTTCGTAAAACGTGCCGTGGCGACGCGTTTACTTTCATATTCAAACACGTTTACGGTATCTAACTTTTGTTTCCTTACGTCCAACGCTTGACATTTCCACCAAGTGCGATTATTTCCGACGTTCCACTGATAGTAGGCGAAACTGCGATCAACGTTTATTTCGAACCTCGCCTATTATTGAACCGGACGATATTAGCAATATTTTAGAAGGAGAAATTCGCACAGTAGCTAAATGAATATTGATGTTCTCGGAATCATTTAGTAAAAGTCGCGAACGGAAATAATAAATTTGCACTTTGTAGTACGCGAACTTTCAGAACGCTATCACTCCCGAATCGGAATAATAAAAAGGATCATAATATGCATTCGTTTACTGCCATATAAATCAATGCTAAATCGCTTCTTTCACTCGTGTTAACGAACTGCCACGTTTTGCATACTTTTAACGTTGATTCGAGAGGTCTGTAAATAGAACAGAATATATTTCATAGAATCTTGATAATTTTCTTACTTCAAACTTCAAGCTTTATACCTTGAACAGAAATTCAAGACAATCTGTGTACTAGTTTTTACTACACCAATGGTTTTAATCATTGAAACCTGTAAACAGAACAGACTGTATTTCATACCATCTTAATTTCTTACGCGACCAATCCCGCTTTCTACGTTTCGTATTTTCATTTGACTCGTCATTGTAGAGCATCGGATACTACAGTTTTCGCTACATTAATTTTGTTTTTCAATTATTCCGTGCTGGTACCATTTTCTCAAATAAAAAATCCAGAGTTAATTCTAATCATCTGACTGTAATCTTGCAGGTAACGCTAGCCTTTTTACTGGCGACCGCGTCGATCACCTTGACGAGGTGTCAGGACGCAGACATCGCCCTGAAAAGCTTGAACGTCACGCAGCAACCAATCAAAATCGACAAAAATCTTCGGCAAGCTCTTCTGAAGGCCCTGTCCGAACTGGAGGCCGAATCTGCCGAACAGCACAGAAACGAAAAAGAATCCCTCGCCGAAAGAGATGTCGGCAACACCGATGGCGTATCGAAGAAGAACCTGAACAACGAGCTCGGTGTACAGAAATCCATGTACTCGTTCCATGGGTTCCCTACGGACGACGAGATACCATCCGAGGACAAGCTACAGAACTCCAGCTTCGTCGACGCGGTTCGCTACGTGACCCTGAAGACACCTTCGATGAACATCGAGAAGGCTGGTCGAGATGACGCGAGGAGCTTCCACGTTCAGAACGTGATACTGTCCGAGAAGAGTGCCCCGGCGTTCGGTGCTAAAACGGAACCCAAGCTGGAGCAGAAAGCGTCGAAAGCTCCGCAGACCTCCGACACTTTCACCGTGAACAAGGTGGAGAGCCTGACGTTGAGGCCAGCCACGGAGATCTCGGAGAGTCTCACAGGAAGCGCCAGCACAGGCATCGCAACAGCGAACGCGCTGGTCGGTCAGAAATCGGTGGAATCGGTCCCGGCGATCGCGACGAACGGCAACGTAACCGCTCCCGGCGACTCGAAAGACAAGACGGAGGAGGTGAAAATCTTCCAAGCGCCTCTGGTAGCCGCGTTCACCGTCCAACAGGACGAACAGGGCGTGCCAAAGAGCGTCGTGCCTATCTTCCGATCGCCGAACGATGGGCAAGCGTTGACGCTTCAAGAGCAATTGGAATTCAAACAGCAGCTGCTGGAGAAGCAGCTGGCGGAGCTGCAGCAGCAACAGGTCCAGCAGACGCAGTTCCTGGTGAGGCAGCAGCAGCTCTACGAGCAACAGCTCAGACAGAAGCAACAACAACAGTACTATTTCCAGGAACAATCCAGAATCAAACAGCTGGAGGAGCAAGCTAGATTGAAACGACTCGAGGAGCAGCGTTTCAAGCAGCTCGAGGAACAGAGACTGAATCGATTCCAACAGCAACGTCCTCTTCCGCAGAAGCAGTTCTTCTTCGACCAAAGCAACAATCTTCTGTCGTTCCAACCACCCATCGACCAGAATGTTCATCTCCAACCTAGCCTGGCCTTGGAGGTGCCTAATCCCGCCGCACCTCCAGCCTTCCAACCAGCGTTCCAAGAACAGATACGCTTGCAACCCTTCCGTCAGCAACCACAGAACTACCAACAGCAACAACCGCTCCAGCAACAACCGCTCCAGCAACAACAGCAGCAATTGCACCAACCGCAACAGCAGCAGCAGATACCTCAGGCACAACAGTCGCAACATCTGCACCAGTCTCAGCAGCAGCAGCAACATCATCAACGACTCCAACAGAGCTTCCCCACTTTTCCCGTCGATTTCCAGCCCTCGTTCCCCTCGACGACGAGATTCAACAGACAGGAGGCCTTCAACGCGGTTGGCAATTTCGGATTCAACGCCGACAAAGCCCCCAGCAGAAACAACTTCGGATTCAGCGTTCCTCAACGTACCAACTATTACAATCCTTACACCCAGTATAGACAAACGAAGCCGGCGACGCCCGCCAAGCAGATCCAACATCTTCTGTACCAGTCCGGTATCGCCGGAGATCTAGGCAACGTGCAAGGCACCGGGAACCAAGAGGATCTGAATATCGTCTCCAAAGTCCTGGCTCTGAACGTGGGCCACGTGCCCATCAAGGGCCTCCAGTACAAGACGAACTCGGGGACCGTCTCATTCGGGAAAGCATCGGCGTGAAGAAAGAAGTGGAACCGGTGGCAGACGAGCCATGCAAATGCAGGACGATATTAGTCAGGTGAAATCGAGCTCTCACTTTTTCCTCCTTCGTTTCTCCGTTCGTCTTCCTCGTCTTCGATTCGACGCGTCCCGGCGAGTAACCCTTCGCGCAGACGTATCAGGATGATCGAGAAAATATCTTGCATTGTTCGTTCGTTATTAACGGTCTCCTTTTCGTCTCCTTCGGATTCCAAAGGTCAACAGGGTCTTCCGATTCTTGAGACAGTAAATTTCACCTGTGCGATCATCCACAAGTCTGGGACCTAGTTAGAATTCTAGTAGAAGCCGGCTCAAAGCTACGTTAACTCATATTTATGTTTCGCTTTCAACATCGACGAATTCCACTGTTGCGTTTCCTTGGCTGAATAATTATCAGACATTCGAAAAACCGACGTAACGCTTTTTATGTGACATTCGTAAAAATCAGTGGAGAAGAAGGCAGTTGCAATAAGACAAGACGAAGAGATTTGTACACCTAACGCAATCACGGCATCCGTTATTTGTTATATAGTATTTATATAACCGCGTTTAGCACCAACCGCTGAATGGGGATGAAGAGATGCGCGATCTCTCCTAATTAGTGATTCAATTACTGGCTCGAATCCGTTATCGTGACGGTGGAAGTCTAAACGGCAGTTTGACTCGATGCAACGCAACTCGACGGTTATTGTAATCGGCACGCTGGAATCTCGAACAATCCCGAGTGAAATCGAACCGAAATCTACGCGCGATTGCGCGGAAATTTGCGTGGGATCCCGACGATTCCCGAAGAAAAACGCGACTTTCCACGCGCTCCTCGCAACGAGGAAGTCCTTAACGGCTCGTAATGATATTAATTACGATTGAGAATGTTTGCGACTGGAGTCCGCCCGTTTGCACCGGTTGTCTTCGAATTACGTAACGCTTGAACCGTATTACGACATATTTTCTGTATATAATCGCGCGATCCTCGCATTTCTATCGTCAATCGCGCTTTTGTTTCTCCTTTACTTTCCGCGTTGTTCTCGTTGCATCGATTAGCGAGGTAACATTAGATTGTCCAAAAAGTTTCTTTCGCTTTAGTGATACATGGACGATAGTTTATGTTTTATGTTACATTACCGAATCGTGCACGATTCATTTTGCTCCATTACTGTTACAACATGAATATCTATGAAATTAGATTGTCTATTTATAGAAACACGACCACGTCAAATAATTGAGTGCAACTCGCGAAAGAAACTTTCGGGACAACCTGACGTATGATAGCGTACCAGTCGTAAAACCAAATGTAAACGTCTTAGCGTTTCATGAATCGAAAATGATTAATTTTTCCCTATCCGCGTTTCTTAACACTAACTCCAGATGATATCTTTTCTAGGTCCTGACCTCGGCTCTTTTCACTTTTACTCTTTTATCTAACAAGAAGACGTCGCATCTATGAGGTTGTAGATTTACACGACGATTTAGACGTTTATTCTATAGATACGAAACATCGTATCCCTCGAAGCTTTTGTGCCATTGTGCTTCAGTTTTTATAATATTAATCGTCAAAGTTCATAAAGTTTCGTTACGTAGTTACTATATAAATAAACATTCGATCACAAAACAAATCCAACGAATTCGTAAAATGATTATCTTGTCGTCTAATTCTGAATTCTGTATGTATATTCATAGAAACTTCGACGATAATTACTATTATCAAAACCAAGACCCGATAGCACAAAATTTTCGAGGATTACGTTTATTAATGTTTATTATTCATACAATAAAGTCTAAAACCCGATAGATGTAATGTGTCATCTTGCAAGGAAAATGCCTTCTCATTATTCGATAATAATATCTATAATAATACCTTGCCCAACCTAATAGCGATCGAGATGTTCGATCAGTGAAATGTTAGGCCATTTCTGATTCTATCAGTGGTCCCAATTCGTTCCCGGTATCCCACAGGATAAGGGATGACGATGAGCGTGCGTGCGAGCCACGGTTATCCAAAGTCCAAAGTCAGAATTTCTGTCCAAGTTCGAACGAATCTCGTCAGGTCGTCGCGTTGAAGCCTCGCCTTCCTCAGCGGACGACTCGAAGGACAACAGACGACAGCACCGCGTTATACCTGGTGCCTTGAACCAGCCTTGGCCCCGCTGACTATTAATTATTTATCTAGATGTACGTGTAGAACCAGCTAGAAACGGGACGTCGCGCTACCAGGAATTCAACTCTCCCGAGATCAAGGGTCTCGCAGAACCGTGTATCCGGCCACGCTTCGAGATTGAAAATACCTCTGCCGACTGTAAATAAACTTTCGCCACGAGGATACCTCACGATACCACCGAGGAAGGCTCGCCGTGTGTGTGAGTATGCGCACGTCCTCAATTTCACGAACGTTTGGCATAGATTCGTGATTTCTCTCCGACGAATCCTCTCAAAGGGTAAATCGTTATTGATACAAAAGCATAACATAACGCTTTGCTAACTGTACACTCTTCGAATCGTGAACTACATACGATAACGTACCTTAAAGCGAGTCTTTAGGAGATCTTTCAGGTTTGTAAAGCGTTAACGTCCACTGGAATGTTCGTTATATACGTTCGCGCGACCCTCCAGAGCCCTTTCTTTTTAATTTCAAGTGCGTAAACAGGAGAACCTGGGAAAGTTGTAATACGATAGCCACACGCGGCGATTTCTAAATGTGTGTTAAGACTTAAACTTACGTTACGAATTAATATAACATTAGGGTACGTAGATGATATGTTAGACGTAATCGACAAGTTTTGCTTGTAATTTATCTGACGCCAAACTGTATGAACTTTGTAAAGATGTTAATAAACTAATTCGTTGTAGAAAATACAGTAGATTTGTTAGCGTTCTAATGTTGATATAATCACCGATGTAAGTAAGGTGAATTTCTACTACTGATTGATAGTGTGTGTATCAATCTTATTCTCCTAATTCGTAATATAAAGTAAAGAGTCTAATTAAATGAAAAGCAATTCAAATTTTCCCGCGATAAATTAGTGTCGCCATCTAGCGGCGAACAACCGAACTACTTTCGGAGTATGATCAGCGCCTCTATCGGGAAAACGCTCAAGTTTGTCCTCGAATAGTTTCCAATATCAACGCTAGATGGCGACGTTTGTTTAATTTAATAAAAAATGTAGGGTTCAAGGGTTGAAAAATTAATCTCATTCATATTTTAATATTACAAAGCTTGTCCACTAATTTTTTACAAGATATATATTTATTTTTTAAGTTAATAAAAACAAATGGCGCCATCTAACACTGACAGTGGAAACTATTCGAGGACAAACTTGGGCATTTTCCCGATAGAGGCGCTGATTATATTCCGAAAATAGTTCGGTTGTTCACCGCTAGATGGCTATGCATTTGAGCGAAAATACCGAAAACTCACAAGAGAAACTGTAATAGTTTAAAAAGGAAAGCTAATTGTATAATAATTCTATTCAATAATAATATTCTAATTTATAGTTAGCATGCGAATACGAACTTACTGATTGAATACAGTAATGCGCCATCTGTAAGAACTTGTGACATATCGTAAGTATCATAACATACAGCGAAACAAATATGGCGGAGACTAACGTAGGTTCGTTAGAAGAGGAAGCTTTGAAGAGAAAAGAACGCTTGCAAGCTCTAAAAAGGAAAACAGAAGACAACAAGGAAAATAAGAATGAACCCGGTGCAAAATTGCCAAAGTAAGTTTCTGCATTTTCTCCGGGTACTTATAAACCTAACCTCAATCTAGGTTATGAACCATCCTTATTTATCGAACCTTTTCCTTTTGTCTTCCTTCTACATAATATTTAATTCTTAAATGTTTTTGTTTTTAATACTGTAAATGAAAACTGAAAGTATTTGCCCACTGCATGTTAACAGACCAAAGTTTCGAAGCTACAAACCCCAAGACGAAAGTCTCAAGGGCAAAGTGTTGGACGACGCGAAACCTGGAAACGTAGAAGCGGAAGTACACGATCAATTAAGTGCAGCCACTACCAAAGTTGTCATAGAAGAACTTGTAAGTAATTGTTTGCATTGCTGAAGTATCGATTACTACTTGGTGTTTACTTTGTATAATTTTCTAGGATATCAGTAACCTTGCCCCTCGAAAACCAGATTGGGATTTGAAACGAGACGTTGCCAAGAAGTTAGAAAAATTGGAAAGAAGAACTCAGAAGGCAATAGCGGAGCTTATAAGAGAACGTCTCAAACAGGGACAGCACGACTTGGCTGCTGTAGTGAATATGGCAGCTAGGGAACAAGAGGAATCGCCTACTTGATTGTGATAATACAATAATATAATAATTCTCGTGCTGTAAGATTTTTATTATTTTGTACATATAAAGTAACGATTAAATGTATTTTTAATATTTGTATTTATTATAATTAAATTCATGATTTGTTTCAATTTAATGTATTTCATATATGTATACATACACGTTCGTGAAGAAATCTTATTCGCTATCGATTAAATACAATAAATCATTATGGCAGCCGTAGGAACTGTTATACAAACGCATGCCAATATCGCGGACTCTATTTCCTAGAGTGATTTTGCTTTCTTCATTCAGAAAAAGAACGTATGGCTTAACCTTTTAGAAAAGATTGTAATTTAACAATCTTGTGTAACTGGTCCTTACAATCAGTCAATATAATAATCAACTCTTCTAAAGTGTACATATATACAATATCTAAAGTAATCTTACACTTAATTAGTAGTAGTATATATGTATACAATATATATCCTATAATTGCATAGCCTTGAGGTGATATTCATTTGATGAAATGTCACAAACATTTTGTTTAAATACGAATGCCTCTGAGAATATAAATAATACCCTTTCTGTAACGAAACGTATTACGCAAATACTTACATAAAACTTGTTTATCCCTTAGTTTAAATTATATATATATATATAGTTAAAGTAATTGACTAGATCTTTCATTGTAGTCAAGATTATTGGTATGGCAGAAGGAGAACGATTCCAAATAGCATCGCGAGAGCTGTAACAAAAATGAAACAGAACGTAAACTGCGATAATCAAGAAACTAAAACGGCTAAAATTTGTGGAAAGAAGCAGAAGAGATACAGACGCGAAGTCATCCATATTCTTTCTTGTCCAGAATGTTGACTTCCGTTTTTGTTCATAGGAGTAATCGACACTGTGGTTGGCGCATTTGTTGTTCCAGTCGTGCCTTTTGCTTCCGTAGGAACCGCCGTAGTAGTGGTTGTAGAAGTCGTTGAAGTCGCTGAAGCACTTGTCGGCTTTGTCTCCGTGTTGCCACTAATACTGTTATAATAAATCGTTCTATCGTTTAATGGTTGCACCGGTCGGAAGTTGTGCGTTAAATTCGCGCCCTCCGAAGATTGAATACCGCGGAAAACCTCCAGCTGAAAATTAATTACATAAATATAGATACAAAAAAAGAAGAGGCTTTTGTCTGGCCAAACTCTGAAAGTTTCCAAGGAGAACTTTTTCGAACATTCGTGTTTAAATGAGTGTCTAACTAGAATGTATTGCGTTTACGATACATGTTTGCACTTTTTACCACGTTTACAATTGGTAAACGTTCAAGTTTAGCCGGACAATTTCGGAACACCGTGTATACGTTAAATTTAACAGCTTTTTAAAATACCTGCTCGTGGGATATGGACAGTGGATCTATGAAGTCGATCCATTGGACGATCTCGAGGCAAGGTGGGGTCGTCAACGATCCTCTGTACGTGTAATAATTTTGTGCAGATACGATGTCAGGTGCGACCAATTTGCTCAAGACGTTAGGATCGTCTATCGTCGCGATACTGCCGGTCGACGTTATTTGCGATATTTGGGACACGATCGGCTCGAAGATCGGATTCGGCTCGTCCTTGCTCTGTAACATGTGTATTTTGCCATCGTGATCTTCACAGGAATCTAACCGGAGCCATGTTTTTCATTTTTACGCAAACATCAAGCGTGATCAAATACATTTGGCGAAATGTAATCGCGCCGAACGGAATGTGTATATACGAATTGATATATTCGAACGTTCCCGTGTTTACGAAACACTATCGCGATTACACAGATCTTCCATTTTTTTTTCGTCTCTTTTCCTCTGAGAATTTATTTTTTCACGGTTACGATCACGCTCTGACCGAGATCCGTTCGGTTTTCTAAAACAATTCGAAATAGGTCGGAAACGTTCGGAAGCCCGAGGGCACCGTATGAGTGTCATACGAACGTCTTAAATAGTTCTGCAAATATGATCGACATAACTGATTTGCCGTGTAAATAACGCGTACTAATATATATACATTGTACAAAACAAGCAGAAATGAAACGTGGAAAAAGCTTGCACGTTTCGAAACGTAAATTGCTCCAATAATTTACGTTGCTGTTAATCGTATCGTACTATGAAAATATATATTCTTTCATTTCGCACTTTTCTATTTCTTCGACCTATCCGTAATTGAATTTTGATTTCGAAGTGTCGGACGTACCTTCGAGGTGGGGCCGAATCGTTGCACTTAAAATTGTTTATTTGTGCACTTGGTGACCAAGTACTGCGTTACTATATTTAAAATGACATACTTTCAAATACAAGAACACAAGGGTACGCTATTTTTATCGTTAGTTGAAAGTTAACACTGGTACCAAGGGATTTTAATATTTACATAACAATGAGCGGCAGCGGTCGATCGTTACTTCTGCGTATCGACAGTTTCATTTACAACACTTAATTTAATTGGTTAATCCATTTGCGTTGCATGACCGATGTAATTTTATTTTTATAGAAGCTGAAAATTACTTTATATGGCAAGACTAAACACTGTCGATGCTGAAAGTGAAGCTTAGCTTCTTTGGTGAACTAAACCCATTCTTATTTCGACAGTTTCAGTTACAAGAACATTTAATTTAATTGTTCAATGTATTTGTGGTGGATAACTGATATGATATTATTTTTGTAGAAGCTGAAGATGACTTAATATGGCAAGACTAAACACTGTTGATGCTGAAAGTGAAGCTTAGCTTCTTTGGTGAACTAAACCCATTCTTATTTCGACAGTTTCAGTTAGAAAAACATTTAATTTAATTGTTCAATGTATTTGTGTTTGATAACTGATATGATATTATTTTTGTAGAAGCTGAAGATGACTTAATATGGCACGACTAAACACTGTTGATGCTGGAAGCGAAGATTGGTTGGTTTCCTCTAATTTTTATAAGAGCAAGCTTTGAATAAAAATATGTACGATACGAATTTCAAAGTTTTGTTACCTCGTACAAGTATGCTAGGACGGTGAGTCCATCGGGATGTTTCATCGCCTCCTCCGAGCTCTCGTACGACTTCTTCCAGAACACAGCGTGAAGTTCCATCGAGAATGATTTATTGTTGATGAGATCCTCGGATCCGATCTTGTCGTTTTGGCCCCAGTGGAAATGCAATTGTTGAAAGACGTACGAACCGTTGAGCGGCCCTCCCGATACCGTGGGCACGTCTGTATCCACGATCTGGATCATCACTAAACGAGCAAATCGCACGATGCAATTACAACGTTCGTTATATTCCCATTGCGCTTGTTAAAATTGTTTATTTGTTGAAAAATCTCGTTGACCAAGAGCCATTTTTCTCGATACACGACAATCCACACACGATTTACCTTAATTACGTCGAGACTCGCGTATATGACGTGTAATAATCCACGTTAGTTTGTAGCTCTTCAAGGACAGGAGTCACGTGCGAAGTACCACGCTTACAATAATTAAAGCGATTGATACTAACGTGGACTAATTGCACTTTAAATTTCGTTGTATTCTGGGAAACGGGAGAAAATTCTGTTCGAACGGCACGA